TATATGTGTGTGTGTATATATATGTGTGTGTGTATATATATGTGTGTATATATATATATGTGTATATATATGTGTATATATATATATGTGTATATATATGTGTATATATATATATGTGTATATATATGTGTATATATATGTGTATATATATGTGTATATATATATATGTGTATATATATGTGTATATATATGTGTATATATATATATGTGTATATATATATATATGTATATATATACATACATATATTGTCCCAAGTGCTGAGTCCAAACAATGTCTCTATCACAAATGTATCTGACCGCTGTTACATTTCTAATTTGTTTTTTTTACTACAACTTTTAATTTCAAGCCCAAAATTGAACTGGGTATCGAAAAACTGTCCAAAACAAACTAACGAGCCAAAAGAAGCAGATATATATACCAAAGCAGAGATCGTTATATTTTCATTATGCATATAGAATTCCAACAAGAGGCTATTTAATAATGTTTTCAATGGTGTTCTATTGGTTGGGGAATTTTTGACAGGGTTACAGCCCAAAAACATCCTGAGAGCAGCCCAAGTGCACGGACACGGGCTGAGGCTGGAGTACACCTAGCGTTAGCCTTTAGCTTGTTATTAATGGATTCAATTAGCTGACAGCATTGAAGTCCAAATATTAATCCCCAATAGTTACTCTGTTGTGTCTGTTTGCAGTGTGTTGAGCCTTCAGGGCCACCGTAAGCTGCCAGTCAGAAGTGTTAATCCATAAACTCCAAAATAAGTGTGACAGTGAAGCTGTGCAGTAGCAGAATGCTGTAGATCAGTCCTTCCTAAAGACTGGGTAGGACGCACAGGAGATTTATACGGGTCGCAAAAACGTATAGCAGAAAACATAGAATATATCCCACACACTGTTCATGTGTATATATTTTCAATAACGCATGCATAACACTAAATTATGATTTATCAAACATATATCAGTTTGAAATGGCTGGTTTACCTATTTAAGATGATTTAAGGTGATGTGGAAATGGCAGTGAAAATGGTCAGTAAATTATTCACAAATTCTTCTCCCGATTTATAGAGGAGGCCTATTTTGAATTAGGTTGTGATGGTTTATTTTTAAAAGTGGGTCTACAAGAGGAATAGGGATATGGGAGGAGCGATGTATTAACCAAAGGAAGATGGAAACAGGAAAAAACCATTACTCCAATGCTCTGGTTGGGCTCTAAGGACAAAGAGGCACATTATTTACGTATTTATTCTGTTTACTCGGTACTTACTAGGAGGGTGCTGGCCTGTTGTGGGTCAGATCCCCTTTAGAACAACCCCCACCCCTCCAGGAGGGTTCTGTTCAACTGGGCCCCGAGGAGCAGCTTTCTATTAGATGGGCCTAGCGGGGATCAGGTCCTCTGATTCTCAAGCTGTCCCAACAAACGTCTCAATGAAACGGCGCTCAACAAAGTTTGTTCCTACTGCAGGAGTAGTGCTATATTAGATGGGAACGTGTCTGTGTAACTTTGTATGACTTCTGTACAAAATCTTGTGTTCCAGATAAATGAGGAGTTCCGGAGGTGCACCACTATCCCCCTGGAGTCGACCTTTATCTCACAGCTGGACAGCTACACGCCAAAGTTCCTGAAGTTATTCAACTCAAAGGGAGGAGCTGCTGGACTGCGCATGAGGAACGTGTTGATCGACCTGATAAAGGTGAGGTTAAAGTGGTAGAAGGGGACCACGGTCACATAATGTCAATCTAGATTTGTTTTGATAGATAGAATAGATCAAATATCCCTCTAAAATGCCACATTATGACACAGATCTTGAGGAAAAGCATGAAAAATATCAAAAGCTTTTGACATTTGGACAATTTGGCAAGTGTTGCATTTTCGTCAGTTGGATGGCGAGTACTTCTGTCCTGGAACGTGCTCAGAACCCCCCTTAAGGTCAATATAGCTAGGGGAGCATACATCCTCTGCACAGGGTCTGTAGTTTCATGAGGCTGTGATTATCCTAAATCGTACTACTATGATGAACACTAGTGGGCCCATTGGATCCACAAGCTCTCCAGACAACTTATACAATTCAGTTGCTGACGTTTTAGGAACCCCGTTATGCTGAAACCCTTTTTAGAACAGGCAACAAATATATTAACATTCTTTTAGCATTTATGGTTATGATACCAGTACCTTCACTCTAAAACTTTGAAATGCAAAAAACAACCTGTTCAAGACATATACTGTTCCATGTCACTTTCAGCTTATAGACGTCTTATGAAATATTATTGTGATGAATAACTGTAGGACCCACATGCCTCAGTGGTGAAGAAGAGGGACGTGACTCTGAGATGCCTCATTGAGTACTTGGGGGAGACCGTGCAGGAGCTAGTCTCTGACTACTTTGTAAGTACTGTCCTAATTACTGTGTTGTACTTGTAGTTTTGAGGTGTCAGTGTGGTGCTCTGGTGGTTCACTAAACATTACCGTTAGTACTGGACTATGATAATACTGCATGCACTTAAAAACATTGCAGCACTGAGAATGCGCGCACATAGCACAATCTAAAATGAAACGAACAACTAAAGTAAAACCATAACTCCCATGCACTTCAACATACTGTCTCCATAAGTTCAACAGGTAATAATCCTCTCTGATATCTGTTTCAATGTTCATATGGAACAACAAAATGTTCAATATTAAAGAAATTTTAAATCATATGTCGACTGTGGCGAAGTGGATAGCAGGGCCGTTCTTCAATCAGAGGATCGGCTCAGGCTGCACTCGTTGCTTGTGTCCTTGAGCAAGATACTTAACCCCAAAATTGCTCATCTGTAATCTAATGTAATATGAAGAAAGTGACATTTTGTAATAAAAGTAGACATATCTTTTATGAAATAGCTATAAGTGCAAAAAGCGTATTAATGTAATAACTACTCCATTATAACAAAATGTAACTTCTTAAAGTTTTAATAATTTCTGCAATTATTTTACAAACCATTATTTAATTTTTATATTTTTTGCAATCCATTCATGTGATTATTTATTTAAACTTACACTTTCTGTGGCCTCTGGATGGAAGTTGTAGTGCCATACTCCCTTTAGAAAACCTGGTTTACTGCACCCGGATCCGACAGTCTACCCGGCTCAGTCCTGGTTCGTTGAGTCTAATGTACACATACAGTGCAGCATGGAGACTGTAACAAAGTGGAACCATTTGAATAGTTTGGGCTCTTTACTCTCAACACTGAAATAAATGGATCCATGTTTGCATGTTTTCTAGAGAACAGAGGAGGATAAAGTGCACCAGGACCTTCAAACACAGAGCATGAGGATCTATGTGTGTCAGCAGCCAGACGCAGTGGGCATCATCATCAATGGAACTCCGGTGCTGACGGGTCTGGATAGCATGTCCAGAGCCTGCTGCCTACTCCTGGGCCTGACCTATGCCTTAAATCTGGATTATCCTCCCAAACTTGCCAAAACTTTTGAAGTCTTCCAAAGACTGTTTGTGGGACTTGATATGATGCAGCCAAAACCAACATCCAAGTACATCAGCCTGAAAAACAAACTCCTCACGTAAGCAATCGCTGTGCTTTAGGTCGGACTACTTCTTCAAGGCGGTTTGTTAGTGTTCTATTCAGGAGCTGTAGAGGTGCATTCATTAAGGATTGTAATGAATATTCATCATTTGTAATAAGTGTTGAGTGAGTTCAAACATTGAGCGGTACTTCAGAATTGTAGGAACTTAAAACTAGCATCTTGCTAAGGACACATTTTCAAATATCCACAGCAGTTCCAGTTACACCTCTGTAATGTGGTTCCCTTTGTTGGGCAGTTCACTCAAAAGACCCCAAACACACAGATTTCATTATAGTGCAGCTGTTCTTGCTGACAAAGCGTGTTGTTTATACTGAAGAGTTTCAAGTGAGCTGCATTTCCACTTCACCAGACAAAGGTTACTGTAGTTCAAAGCTTTACATTTAGATGTTGCTGACTTTTATTTGAGGTCAAATAATACTGAAACTTTTTAAAGTTATAAAACAATGACTGCTTTTATAAGCAGATTTGTGTTGAGGGGTGTACTGGGGGGGGAATGTCCACTTCTGTAAACACACTTTGTCCAGTTTCAGTATTAGTCCTTGTGAATGGCTGGTAAAGCGTTCACTCAGTCCGTCATAGATCACTCGCCTGGGACTAATCTAAAGAACATTTTGAAAAATGTTGTAGGTTGTGAAGACATTTTTATTTTTTCCACTTTGATGGATTGATGATTGAAATGATTAACATAAAATGTATTTGCTAGATCATTAAGGACATTGTATGATATTGTGATGCTTCTGTTGCATCAGCCACATTGAAGCTGAGTGTCGCATTCCAGCTCGATTATTCACACATGGAGAGTTCAACTGTTTACTTTCAATGTGGACATGTTGACTAGCTTGTCTTTAACATTCCTCCTCCTCTTAAAAAGGAACCTTTTTGGTTAGTCATTGAACCAAAAATGACTTGTAGAATGCATTAATGCTAAAACATTGTTAATAAAACAGGTTTATAATCAAAGCTTCATATGAAGCCGTCAACATCTAATGGTAAAACTATACTGCAATGTTGTGTGTATATAAGACAAGGTCTCTGGTATGTGTGTGTGATAGAGTAAATGTAGGCTGCTGGATTCTAGAGAACTGTTTGTGTGATGTTTCCAGTCGTTCTCTCAGGCACCCATGTGGAAATATGTGCGGACCATGTCAAAGTGTTCAATTACTTTGCTTGCAACCAGCATTAAATATTTTTTAATGAAATAATATGAAGTAATACTTTGAACATTTTTCCAACATACAATGCAAAAACATAAGGGCATGGTGATGAAATATGAAGATAAGCTCTTGTTTAACCAAAGTTTTAGGATTATTTCATGGAGACATTTAACTTGAGCAAAGTTCTCGTATCCTCTCTGCTAATTGCAAACAGTGGAGCACCCTGGTTCTCTCTCTCTGGAGCTCCTCGGCACTCACTTGGCCCACCAGCTTGGCAGAGAAGTGGATCAGGTCCTGCATGAAGAGGCCCACACTCCCTCTTGGTGCCGGTGGGATCTGGGTCAGAGTGCAGCAGTCAAAGTAGAAGTTGATGTTCTTGACCCTGGGGAGGCCCGGCCCCCGCTCCTCAATCCATGTCAGAGGTCTGGAAGGACACCGATTAAATGAATGATTAAACCCGTCTCCACAGCCGGCAAATGAGTGGCACATAACACCCACAATGCAATACTGTAACGCCGCTTGAAAAACTGAAAGTCAGAGCAGAGACTGGAAGACGTTCCCTCTGACATGTCGCTAATATGACCACAGTGAATGATTGGAGGGTTATGATGTAACCGACTAAACCGTGATTGACAGCAATTACAATACAAGCACATTCAACACTGGCATCTGAAGAGCAGCTCAAAACGTTCTGGTTTCTGAAAAAGCTGTCCGGCTGAAACCTCAAGGCCATTCTGACCACGAGAAACTGCTTTTGAAGACACGAGTTGTTCGAAGAAGTCCACAACACTTATTGCTTTTTTTTTTAGAAATCATCCACATGAAAACCAGATGTGCAGTTATCTACTTTATGTATATATAGCTGGAGCACCAAGTACGGATTAATCTCCCGCTGATAATAGTCCCCAACAAACAATTCCCCCTTCTTTGAGTAGAATTTGTTAAACTACAGCAACCAGCTGTTTAGAAACTACAGAGTATTTTAACAAATGAAACTATACACTTTTTAAAGATGCATGTCTTCAGTGGGAGCCCATTGACAGAGTAGGGAAGTCAGTATTAAGGGGCGGAGGAAGACATTGTTGCTTTAAGTCTTTTCATGACTATTTATTCCATCACTGTGGTAGACATACAAGGACACACACACATCCTCTCACCTGTTGTCAGAAGTTAGCAGCGTTGCAGTCATCTTGCTGCAGTTGTTACCAGAGTCTTCCTCCATGGTTGCTACAGAGACCGACAGCTCACCAAACAACTCGACCAACCATGTGAGGCGAGCAATGCCACTGAATGCTGGGAAACCAAATCCAGGCTTCAGAGCTCCACCTTCAACAAATGACACAATGCACACATGATTACATTTCCTTATTGAGGTTTAGCCGGAGTTCCAACCCTAAAATGCAGTCTCTTTGGACAACTGTCACATTCGACTGGTGTGACCGTCAGGCAGGAGTGTTTTCAGCATAGTGTCCAGCATGACATATGATAAACTAAAACAATATATTACTCTCAATTCCCATTTTAAAACAGATGAAGGTTTTGGTCAAAGCTGTGTCAAAGAGACAAACCGTCCTGTCTCTTACCTGTAAAGTGAAGAGTACCTTCCTGCAGGATTTTACCCTCCACCTCTTTCTTCAGTTCTTTGTAGTCTTCTGTCAGCAGCTCAATGTGCTCCTCGTGGAGAATCACTCCTGACACACACACACACAAATGTTGACTGAGATAGAATGAGATGCTTTAACTCCTTAGTTGGGTGTGTGCATTTGCAAAAATGTCATTGAACCCAAGCACTGATCTGAGGATGTAGTCATTGATGAAGTGCAATCAGGACTCGGAATCTTAACCCCAATTGTTTTCTCATAATGCAAGATGTTCAGTACCCCACAAACATGTCATCAATAGTACCGTCAATGATACAGGGTCTGAAACAAATTGATGTACTTCCACTGCTGAGGAGAATTCTTACTGCACTGAGCTCATCCAGCCCGGCTGGTCCTCTGAAGCTCCTCCTCACACTGCACTGGTTCCTTGTGGCTGCTGAAGTCCTATCCAAGACACTGGTGCTGAGAATGGCCCTGGTCAAACTACACCCCCCAGCAGACCCGCTAGGCTCTGCTACTGCCAGTCAGCATGGATCCCTATCACTCTACAAAGTCTCGACTGTTTGCTGGCTCCACAATGAGGGAACCAAGCACCCACTGACATAAGAGCAGCAGAACCACTACACATCTTCAGACTGCACCCAGAAAATGAGAAACAATAAAACTATTTCTTATTGTAGCACTGGACATAGATCAGCATGAGTACATGCAAGTTTCATACTGTTAGAAATTAGCATCACCTTTTTTCTGGGCTAAATCCCAGAGCTCCACAGCAGCCTTGTAGTTCATGGTCATGGGATACTCGACACAGACGTGTTTTCCTGCCTGCAGAAAAGTTCTGATGAGACAGGAGGGAGTGTTCTTTATCAAAATTGGTATGAAAAAACAAACAACTGAATTTTGATTAGAAACTAAGTTGTGCATTTTGTTTCTCAATAGGATTGTAAATAAGTTTAGAGAACAGATCAGCTCCACAACATGTGACATTGCCTATTTACACATTGAGTAGACTCAGCAGCATTCGCTAGGGCCCTGTGAAATCTGTTGGTTTTTCTTTATAGATTTTTTTCCTAAATTCACTGTTTTACATTTAAATTTTCCTGAATTCTGTGTTATGCGATTTAAGCACATTTGGCCATCACAAAAAGTGTGGTGATCATGTGGTGGATGGACTAAATGTTAACAATTCATAAGACTATCTAAAATTGAATTAATGTCAATGAATGCAATCTAACACTATTTTTCTTTATCAAAGAAAGTCATTCAGTGGTTAAAAAACAAACATTCCATCCTCTCCTAAAAGAAAGTGCTCTAAATCAGTGATGAATTCCTCTGAATGATGAATGATTGACAGGCAACAGGCGACCCCTCCCCCAAGTAGCCCCCCCGACAGCTCAGATATTTAACCTGATGCATTGACCCGTTTACTTTCTGTCTCCACCAAAGCATGATATGTTAGGATTATCAACACATGGAACAATGTTTCTGTTAGTAGTGGTCACTTACAATAGATTTTCTAAATGTTTCTTCATCGCCACCATGTTAAAAGTTATTTCAGCACTGCTGCTGTTAAACATCTAATGTTTTATGTTTTTTATTTACTTAAGGCTATATACGAGTGAGAAAATGGTTTGAACTAACTTTACAGAAGGTTGTTATAGTACGTGACTGACCTTTCAATGATTTCCCTAACCCCACACTGATACAAAAATACATTTCCAGTGATCATCTGAACCGCACATTACTCCATGATGAAATGAATCCATGTCGTAGCCATTTTACATTTTAAGTCAAGTACTTAGGTAAAAATACAGATTCTCCAGTTCTGGGAAAGGCTTGCTGTGACATAGTGATTCAATGAATCTAGTGCTTTTCTGATCAGGCATCTGACAAATAAGGTCCACCATCTTATTACATTTGGTTTGTTTTTAGAGAAGATCATTGAATGACATTCAAATCGGAATCGTTTTTTATATATATTTTGGGTAAATACATTTTTGTATTAATCTGGAATGAAAAAAATAATCGTAAGAATATTTAATACAATAGTCATCAGAATAATCTAATCGAAAAAATAATTGTGTGAGATTTATTTATAAAAGAATGATGGTTAGGGGCAAGCCTTACGCATGAGGAAAACCAGGGCTTAAGTTGTCTGGTGTGAACTACGCTACCCGTCTCAGAGCCTCGATGTCAGCGTCGTCTGTAGCGGTCTACATTCTTGTTATTAGTACTCCTTGGACAACAGCTTGACATTGGCGTTAATCCTGCCCCTGGTGCTGATTGGCTAGTTGTTAGTCCCCCCGCTGCTCTTATTATATAGACCAGAGGTCTTCAACAGGGGAGGGAGGTACTGCAGGGGGTCCGTGAAATCTTTGGTTGATTAGACAATTTAATTTTTTTTTTTCTAAACATGAATCTGCCCATTATTTTAATAGTTCAGTATTGTATGAAAGATAACAGGTATGTATATGCATGACAGCGGAACTAATAAGCCATCACTCATTTTCATTTCCACATTCATGTTTAAAATGAAAATGTCAATTTGAATAGCTTGTATGCATGATTATCATGCAATTGACAGACAATGTTGATATTGGCATTGGTATCAGCTGACAAGGTATGTTTATAAATGGCAGTGGCACGGCCACCCTACTCACTGTACTTTGCACATGTTTAAAACAAAAACACCTTTTATTTTTTTGCAACCAATGAACGGAAGTTACTATATTTGGAATATGGAGGAGTGACGCCGGACGCATCTCAGGTAGCGTGAGCAACCTTTCAATCACAGTAGCCCCTCCATAAAGCATACCCTGCTTTATGGTCTGTTTGACTCTAAATGGACCATCATTTACTAAATGAACATCATGCTGTATTGAAGAACACTTGAAACTAGAGATTGAGACCATAAACTCATGTTTACAATGTTTACTGAGGTAATAAATCAAGAGAGAAGTAGAGTCATTTTCTCATAGACTTCTATACAACCAGAGGAGTCGCCCCCTGATGGACAGTAGAGAGAATGCAGGTTTAACACTTCCGCATCTGCTTCACTCAGCAGAACCGGAGGTTGCCGTCTGGTTCATACAACGATGCCAGACAAATGAGTCGACTTGAATGACTGATAAATCGTTCCAGCTCTAATAAGCATACCTCGATCCAAAGGGCACAAGGCTTGGGTTGATTATTATGAGAATGATGTATATCATATACTCTATAACTGAACACCAGAGATTCTGGAACGTCGAGTGATTAACTGAAGAGAACTATTTAATGTGACAGATCAAGTGTAGAGACTTTTTGCAGACTTGCACATTACCTGACGTTGTCCTCGTGCAACGCATTCTCAGTGCAGACGAACGCCACATCAATGTCTTCTCTACCCACAGCTTCTTCTACTGAGATCTGACTCACACCCTGCTGAGGGTCTAAGCTTCTCCTGTTGACAAAAACACCGTCAGCTTGATAATGACAGGAATGCTACTTCGATCAAAGACATTGGCGTCTTTCAAAATGATACAGATAAAATTGTTCCTACCATTTCACAAACGGTATCTGGTGAAATAGCTCCATTTTGAAAAATCCAGATAGGGTTTGTTCATATTAATGTACTGTATTAATAAAATAGCGGGTCTGAGTTAATACAATAATACTGTACGTGTTTTAAGTACTAGTTCTAAGACTCTTTTGGACCGTAAACTACAATGATGGAATCACAGTTGGTAGTTTATTTGGCCCACCTTGATAAAAAATAATGCAATCCAACAGCCCTGCAATAAATTAAGTTTTATTATGTTTTTGTATCTTAACAATAAATCCATGAGTCTCTGTAATGTGTGTGTCCTTCTCATATCTAGAGAACTGTTAAGTCACTCTATTTCACACTTGGCTGGTGCATTGCTGGACACACAAGGATGTGCAGTGTTGAAGTTGGTGCAATTTGGACACAGGACACGTTCAATATAAACTTTTTAAAAAACAAGTGACAGCGCTCTGCGCCACATCAGGGCTTCAGGTCTCAGCTCACTGACTGCAGCTCCCCCTTGCTGCTGGATGAACGAACGATAAAATCGCCGCCGCATGGCTAGGACAGTAATGCTTGTGTTTATCTGTGCATGCTGACAGTCGTGTGTGGGTTACCTGGATATGAACCCTCTGACATTGAGTTCTGCTGCAGGACTGCCAAGTAGAGGAGCCAACATATCTCTGATCCTAACCCAGCCTGCTGTGCCGATGCCGACAACCACTGCCCCCAACATTCTGACTGAAAAGCAAAGAAAGAGAAGAGATGGAGAGTAAAGTGGGTTAAATCTGGTGTCCTGGATATCCAAAATATAATTATGGATAGCCAAGTGAACCCTTTTATGTGTTCCAACCATTTTATCACATAACTTTCCCATTTGGTAAATCATATGTGGGTAAAACTAGCAGATAAATGAAAACAAGTATAGCAGAGCATCATAGCAACATCAGGCTCAACAATATGAATTCCTCAGTAGCTGACCATTTCTTAAAATAGTACCATCTTATTTCATCTCGGCTCACACTGAACTAAAGGGAGCAGTTTGACCGGATTATGTGGGCCTCTTACCCTCTTCTGTAAAGTTAAATACATCAACCTGGTGCACTTTGAGAGCCAAATTAAATCATATATCTATGAAGATCTTTGTGCTCTTGTAAACATGAAAGTGTGAGGAATTTATTGTTTTTGAAGATATAATCATACGATTATTGCGCTGTGCGATCGCATTTTTCAGTGGCTCGAGATGTTCCAGCAGCTATTAGACACTTCAGGACGTGGCCAGGTTGGGATAACGTTACTGCTATGTTCACAAAGTTTAGTCTCCTCTTTAAGAATATATTACAACATTTCGCGATGTTGATGATTTTCATTTTTACAACACAAGATAAAACGTCTAAAAAGTGCTGGTATCCACCCTCAATTAAAAACCTGAAATCATAAAGTGCACTTCTGGTGACGGGGTCACACGAGAAACATCCAGTTCATGCAAAGCCTTTAGTGTAACACACTGTGAGCAGGAGGGACCGTCCAGAGTAAATGTTTAAATGTCTGTTCAGCGACATTTTGCTGAGCGTGCAGTCAATGATGGGAACTATACACGTTACACAACGTGTAGCTAGCGCCTACGTGATAACCACACTATACATTACTCTGTAGGCTCAACCCAGGAAAAATAAATAAATTAATTAAAGCATTTTAACAGCAAGTCAAGGCTTGACTGCAGCTGTTACTTCCGCAATCTACGATAAGAATGTATGATATCATAATGTGGATAATAATGTCATATATTAGAGCACAGCTGGTACCCTCTCTTTTTTACTGCCGAGTCCGACTTTAAATCAGAAAGACAAACCAGCCAGCAGTGTCCACGCGGACCCCGGTACCGTGAGGACTCCGTACCAACGTGAACGGGGACAGTTTTTCCAACTGTGACTTGCAGCGAGCGGAGAAAGCTTAAAGGTGCCTTTTGTTCATCGACGTTCAAGCAGGACACTTCGCTGTTTGCTTACCTGGTTTTCACGGAACTCGTTCGCAACTCACAAGAAGAAGAGCTCTAGCTGTTACTGTTGTCCTTCTGTAGATGTTTCCTCGCTGGAGATGACATAACAGGTAGCTCGCGCTTGCCTAACAACCAGCCGGGCGCGAGGAGTGTTTCACGCGCACGCGCGCCTCGCGCCGCCTTTCACAACGGCGAAAAGTGAAGTTTGAGGCGCGCTCGCTGTGCTGCAGCGGTGAGACCGGCCTACTGCTGGGAAAGGGGCGGAGCTGGGGGTTTTAGGTCCCTCTTCATTAATAGGCCGAACTGAATAATCAGTTCAATTTATGAATTCAATAATGGGTGTAAGAGCCATTTTGTTAGTTTTGTTTTGTACAACCTCCCACCAATTGGGGGCGTACTGCCGGTGTGAATTATGGCACAGGTTATTATAATCAGTGGAGGGTCATTGGATACAAGTGTTGCTGAACAGAGGGGAGCAAACTGTTTTTGGCCGTGCAACAGTTAATGAAGATAGAGGTTGTGATTTCTTTAGTATATGTGGAGGAAATGGATTCATATAGAGAAAGTGGTTGCCCTCTGTTTATGTTCCTGTTCCTAAAATAAAATATATACGTTGGAAACTGGACTTAGTTATTTGGCAACAAATCAGTAACCGTGGTGACTTCTTTGAGAAGCGACAGTCACTACAATGGGTGGTACCAAAAGAACCATATATTGTAATGTTTCCATTATTATACTTACCTACTACTCTCATTATATATATGAATAATTTCTGTCATATGCATTGAATGTGTTGTTACTCTGTTATGTTGTTCATTCTGTACACATGACATCTATCACACTTCTGTTCATCCTGAGTGCAGGGCCGAGATCCTTCTTGTGGCATTGGCACCTCTGTGGCACTCAGCGGCAGTCTGTGGCACTCTGTGGCACTCAGCGGCAGTAAGTGGCACTTCAGCGGCAAGCGTCAGTCAGGTGCCACAACTGTGGCAGGCGAGCGGCACTAGTTCGGCACCCGTCAAGAAGCTGCCGAGCTGAGTGGGCGGAGCCACATTTCCTGAGAACACCCATTGTTGTTACCACAGGTCAGCTTCCGTAAATCTGTTTTATGATTTTAGTTGAGTCACCGGAGCCACCCGTTCTCTGTATACATCCTTAGAGTAACCACGTTGTACTTTTTTGTTTCTCATTCATTTTATTTAAGTATGATTTTGCTGGTTTTGCAACAAAAGGGAACATAATACACTCTTTCCAAATTATTACTTTAATAGTCATTTACAACAATCGGCTAAAATAATGAAAATAAATTATCCGTTTTATTATCATTTAAAAGTATATATATAAAAACGTTTTAAAATTAAAACCCATAAATACATGTCTGAAAATATCTTCACTCTTCCTCTGCTTATATGTAGGTGTCAGTAGGTGCCACAAGCTGCCAGTGCCAATAGTTGTTACAGGAGTGCCACCACTAGTCAGAGGGCTGCAGTCAGAGGGTGCCGCCAGCAGTTGGAGGGTGCCAGAGGGTCCCTATACTAAACACCCATGTGCTGACCTCTTTGTCCACCTTATTCTGGCTTTCCCCTGGCAACCCAGTGTTACAACGCTATGAATTGTGGGTAATTCCCTCAGGTAAAGGCCAAATCCCAATGTCCCCCCTAAACCCTCAAACCCTGAACCCTCAAGGACTTACTGACGTCACCTGGTAAGAGTGTGAGAGACTGTGAGGGCTAGAAATGGTGTAAATAGGAATGGGACAGCACTTTGCTGCAACATATCATGTTACCATGAAAACGACAAAAAATATGATGTATAATTGTGGGTATTTATTTTATACTTTGTACTCCCTGATTTGAAAGTCTTCCAGGCTCTTTTCTCACTATATGAGAGGTAATTCATATAATCTATTTACTCGTTTTTGTCAAAACAGCTTCAATGACAAAATCAAATATTTGATGAATAAATAAATAAATATCTTCTGATTTCATGTTTATTTTTTGTTCCATCTTTAACCCTTAATGTTTCTCAGTCAATTTAATATGAGAGGCTGAACACACGTGAGCCGTCCTCTTTATTTACCTTTTTTTTTACGTTTCCATGCGTCCACTGGTTACCCCGTGTTTAACGTCACATTGCAATGATTTGTGGGTAATTCCCTTTGGCGAAGTCAGCATACCATGCTGAGTTACGGAAAGGGTTCATAAAGGGCTCAAAATGTCTGCAAGAGAGCCCTCAAACACTTGACGATTTGACGGACATCCCTAAACCCTCATGGACTTCGCGGGAGCGGGCCTCAAAGTCCGTGAGTCCGTAAGGGGGGACATTGGGATTTGGCCAAAGTCTACAGAAATGTGGACTTACAGAAAGTGTGCATAAATGAGGCCTTCATTTAGGAAGAAAGCTCTTTGTCTGCCTCCACACAGTCCTTACACTGCGCCGTTGACTTGCTCCCCGGGGCCCCTGCCATCCAATGGTCTATGCATCATGTCTTGTCTTGAGAGAGGTACTGGGGAGACCATTGGTGTAGGGTTTTTTCTTCGTTGCCAAAAAAGACTTTTCCCCATGTCCCTGTATTGACTACCGGGATCTCAATAACATCAGAGTGAGAAATATATACCCTCTTCCTCATATCAACTCCACCTTTGAACCCCTCCAAGGAGCCACAGTCTGACTACCACCTGATCAGAATCAGAGCTCAAGACGATATTCAGATTTTCTGCTGCATCATAAACTCGTTTTGCATTTAAGACAGGTGCTTTAAAAACTCTTGGAGAACAAACTGCATCAAAGCAGAGACATGTGAAGATTAATTCAGTCTTTTTCCATCGCCGAGAGCAGGCGGGGGCTGACGGATCCTGAGAAGTTGAGGCAGTGGCCCAAACCAACTACATTTAAACAGCTTCAGCTTCCTTGGCTTCGCCAATTCTACTGCCGCTTCATGAGAGACTTCAGCAGAATGGCTGCCCTCACCTTTCTGTGATGTTTCATAACCAGTTGGAAGTAACTTTAACTTGACCTAAAACCAGCCCTAAGGCTAGGAAATGAAAAGTGATCTTTCTGGTACTATTGTTGAAGCCTTAGTTGTACTAGCTGACACTTTTACATTACATTACAGTCATTTAGCAGATGCTTTTATCCAAAGCGACTTACAATTCAGATTCTATCACATTTCTACACCGTAGGCACAACTACGGGAGCAATTTTGGGGTTAAGTGTCTTGCTCAAGGACACATCAACATGCGACTAGCTAGATTGAACCGCCGCCCCTCTGATTGAAGGACGGCCCTGCTATCCACTTAGCCACAGTCACTTAATACAGTCACACTTAATACAGTTGTTGTTGTTCACTGGTTGCATTATAGCCTATTAGCAGGTATTGTATTCTCTTCAAATGATTGTGTGTGTAGCCTCTACTCAATGATAGATGATGATAAATGATAAAAGTAGAGATAGAGTGGGATTACGTCCTGTCCAAATATAAAAGCTGGGGGCTGTCTTGGACTCTTTAGGTAACACTTTGTAATTATGAACTAATGATGCTGGTAGAAGGTTTCTCTTCAGCACGTGCATAACTTAGGCTACACAATAAAATGCAAATAAAAGTTATTCAAAATGTTGATTCCCTTGTGATTGTGTCTGACGTTTCGGTAAAGGAGACTTGTATATATTTTGTATCATGTTTTTCATTTATTTTGCTGTTTCTTATTATGAGTATAAACGGATTTATTGGTCTCTTGCATGTGCGATAGCATTTATAATATTCATGTAACGTGAAACTTTCTATATATATATACAGTACATATAGTAGTAGTACAGACACCGCCTGCCGGAACATGAGCGGCACACGACTGCGTATTAAGGGAGCGCACCCACATCAAATTGGATACGATCCGTGTGACGTTTACGGATGTAAACAGAGCCGCGTCCTCTCTCCGCTGTAAAACAAGGTGAGAAATGTTTTCAGATTCCGTTTTTAGTTGAGCAACAACATTTGTTGGAAACGTGCGCGTTAAGAAACCCAAACTCGAGAGAAGGCGTGTAGCAGGTAGACCACAGCTGCAGACATGAGCACAGCTTTGTGTCACATCAGAGATGACACTTTTTATCATTGAACTTGAGTGAGATTCAGCGAGATGACATATGCCTCCTCAACAGCATGTGTATCAAATACAATGTTCTCTGATTATAAACATGTTGATTCCAGCTGCTGTTCTGAACCGGTTTAGTGAAAGCTCTGATGACCCTCAGGGTGACTCTGGGAACCTAAAGTGCTTTTCTCAACAAACCCTGACTTTCTCTCATCCAGAACCATACGCTGTTATTTCCTCTTTGATTCAGTCCCTATCAAAGGTCAGAATTTAAATCCTGGTTGGATATTAGTTTGTTGCTCAGAGAAATCTAAAGGTACCTCTTTTATGAGCTGTCAGTCATTTCTATAAACAGCATTTTGTCCTCAATTCAGTGCTTGAAGTGAAAAAAAGAAGTGTCAGTATAATATAGCTTACTCCCCTTATTCACATATTAGGTGTGTATCAGCAATCTCTTGTTACTTATTTCTACCTATGTATTATTTCATTAATCATGTTCTACTGTGTCAGTCATAAGCAGTTGTGATTTTATTCTTGTATTATTAATCTTGGGTTATGCATATTCTGTAGTAGACCTATATAGAATATAATAATCCCATAATATGATTCCAATATACTAATAATTCGAACTTTATTCAAATCCACATGTTGTACCATACTGGCCAACATTTCAGAGCTTTCTTCAAGTTGTTTCTTCCCAGAATCTTTCACTTTGAAATCCAGAAGTTTTATGGACTGCATGCCCCAGGGCATGATGGGAAACGCCTGGATGTCGCCTGATCAAAGAGCTGATTGGCTCTTAGATTTGACAACAAACACCACGTTTTGTAGCAAATCTATTTTTCTGTGTAGTTGTAATATTTAAAGCTAGATTGTTGGCTATTAGTCGCATGTTGTGCAACAAAGGTTTAATCTAAAAACATTTTGTATGATTGATAATAATAACGCTTATTTATAGAGCATATATCAAAACGAGCATCAAAGTGTTTCACTGACAGACATAAAAAAAAAGATAACATACAATGCAGATACACGCACATTTCCACATGAATCTATATTTAATTGAATTGTTTGATGTGACTTCCACTGAGCTTTGAGTTGCTTTTTTAATGTCACAAACTCAATATGTATCAAAGAACTACAATTCCCTCTCCACTGATAAAGAACTTATTCTCAGTTACCTTTAGTTTGAGAACTGTTTCATTGCTAATGATTCACAGTTCTTTGTCAAAAAGATCAAGTGAAACAGCTGTTCTGTGTCGTATGCATTGTTGCCATTAAAGCAGTATTTCTCAAACTGTGGGGCGCAGTGGTATTACAGGTGGGGCGCAGGGGAAAATGCAGAATTTTTTTATTTCAAGAACTTTATTGAGAACTTCACATATTACAAAAGTACAAAGTACACGGACATAAAACTAAGTCATTGATAAATACATGTGAAATGCCTGTACTTTTGTGTAAATGTTTACGTTACGCCGTTAACAGGTTACGCTTGCGCATGCGCGACGGCCAAGATTCTTGGCGATTCACATGTGTAGCTTAGTGTGCTTCCCTTCGCCACAACCTACCTCTGTGAGATCAGCTTTTCTGCTGTTGCCTCTCTCAAAACAAAATACAGATCTAAACTCAACATTGAGCATGAATTGAGAGTGGCCGTATCAAGGTTGCAACCCCGTTTTAAAAAGATCTGTAGTGGAAATAATAATAACTAATACTGATAAAACTTGATGGCTCACACATATCTGCACTCGTTTTGTTTTGAACAGGTTGCACGTTATTGTTATTATCTTGAAAAGATATTCAGTGCAAAACAGGTTAATTGCAGCCACAATAACCAATTTTTTGGCAAATATTAGTTGTTTTTTGAATAGATAGAACTTTATTTGCATTGTTCTAAGTGATTGCACATTGTATTTGTTTTTGTCTGATGGAGCAATCTGGTTGACTTGAAAGTGATTGCAATTTTCTTTATTCTATTATTTGAAAAAGCACAGATGGACGAGTCACAAAATGTTATTTCAATAAAAGTTCAACATGGATCATTTTGTTACAATTTTGTTGGGGCGGTGGGGCATGAACATTTTTCTTCCTCCAAAGTGGGACGTGACAGAAAGAGTTTGAGAACCACTGCATTAAAGTGACCAGCCCAGGAAGAAGAGATGAGGGTTTCCACCACTCAGCTGCAGCAGCTCACCATCTTCACCACCGTGCTGACCGGGGCCGGGATCGGCACCATGTACTATCTGCTGCAGAGTGAGTAAAAATGAGCTGTGTGTATGTCTATGTGTACTTAGTAGAAGTTGGGCAAAATATTGATATGGTAATATATTTTATTATTTGCAAACTGCCAAATACTGATATTTTTATTAAAACATGCAGCGGCTCTAACCTGCTGTATTGGGACGGTTGAAAAGAAAAGACTTACCTAGGCTACCGTCTTTAGCATAGAGGTTGAGTGGCTCTCTGAGCCCAGGACCTCACGACTCGAGGAGGGTCCGACTGGAGGTCCCATAACAACACAATACTACGGTTTGTATTTTCACAGCATTGGCCCTCTGCCTTTCAACTGGGTAAATACAGCCTGAATGTATAAAAATGTTGTGTATGAAATGCCCTCACTATGCTGCATTTTTATAAATGATAATCTGGTCATTGGTCACTTCTCTCACCTGCGTCAAGGCGCCATCTCACTCCCTAGTCTTCTGTGTATAGAGTTTATAGATTCCCAGTGTATAGAAAATTAATAGCATTTATAACACAGTCTTCTTTTATTTATTCGCTAACTACCTAGCTCACTTTTAGTGTGATTAATCCTCGTATCAGTGCGTATCATCTCCAATTAATAAACAACCAGTTCCAAACCGGCATTCTAAGGAAATGACTGGTAGATGATTTATGCACTGCTTCTGCAAGACGTGAACATTGTGGCACTAAATTGGGCATGGCGTGAAAACGCATAAACTGTATAATCGCAGGAAAACCCTGTTTCTTACAGAATAATAAACAGATTACAAAAAGCAAAGCAAAGGTACTTTCCCACTTACTCAGATTTGCAGCTGGATATTAGTTTTTTTTCTTGAGATGACATTACATAACTAATAATGTTTTCGAATAAGTAAGTCGACATTTTGCCATGTTGGTTGTTTCTTACCGTAGTTTATTCTGTTTATTCAGTAGGTAGTCCTTTTATGCTGAATGTGTTTGTAGAATAAAGGTTGAATAAGTGCACAATTTGTGAATGTTGGCAAAACTTTCAAACTCATAGCAGTTTGTTTAGTTTGAATTAGAAGAAAATCACAACTAAAGAAGTTGTTCCTCCGTTGCAGGGTGTTCATGAGCTTAAATTCTAATGTGGAAACATCAGTAGAGCGGGTCGTCCTTCAATCAGAGGATCGGCGGATCGATCCCCGGCTCCGCTAGTCCGTGTCAATGTGTCCTTGGGCAAGACACTTAAGCCCAAATTGCTCCCGTAGCTGCAGTGTATGAATGGTAATTAGTCCTGATGGGCAGGTGGCACCTTGCATGGTAGCGCCTGCCATCAGTGAATAAATTGGTGTGTTTTGGTGAATGATGACGTGTAGTGTTAAAGTGCTCTGAGTGGTCGAGAGACTAGAAAAGCGCTACACAAATACAAGTTTTGAGTTGTTGCTCCGACTTGAGGTCGCGCTCACTTAACTTTTTTCAGTCCAGAACACATTCAGAAAATGAATAAATGCAGCTCAAATGCCCTATCCCACTGTTCTGTTAAATGCTCATGAGAGAATTGAAACATGACTGTCTGGGCTTGTGGTGCTTACACATCATTGGACACTTAAAGGCAGGATTGGTAATAATCTGTAATTTGGCCCAGATGTAATGATTGGACGGGTTACCTGCCTGCCTGTGTGTATTCTGCCCGTGCACTCATTGCTCATCACCGAAGACTTCCACAGGCTGCTAGCTTAACAACTGTGAGTACTAACAACAGCCATGTTTGTTATTTACATTCATGATGATATGTTTAAGTTCATTATGATCATTTTAGGGGAGTTGCTTTTGAGGGTGGCCTGAAGGGACGAGCTGTCAGTGTTGCCGACTTGGCAACTTTCTTGCTAGATTTAGCTACTTTTATTGGTAAAAGGTTGGCCACACTGGGATGCTTTTTAAGTTGGATAATGTTTTTTAAATCTAGCGTCCTCTTGCAAGTTTTTGAAGTTTACCAACCCGGCCTTTAACTACATTTGTTGCTTTTACTTCAAATAAAACGTCAACTGCTTTAACCTCTGGTTCGCACATACTGAACTAGCAGGCGCTCTTATACACTTGTGTTTCGAGCAGTAGCTCGGGGTAAACACAGATGTAACCACTCCTCTCCAGGTTACAGTAGGGCGCCCCTTGAGTCACAGAAAAAAAATTATAATAAATAATACAAATTGTCAATATTTGTGTTTTTTAAATATGGAATGCACCCAGTAATATGTGTAAAATATGATATCAGCGCAAAATATATGCTTTTCCTGCACATCCTCTCAGCCCGTCTGCATGTCTAAGCAGCTCTGGGTCTCTGGAAGAATCGCCCGCAGGAGGCGGGTCTATGAAGCAGTTTAGCCAATTGCTGATTAAAGATATGAATGTGTGACATACAATTTAGCCAATCAGCGTCCTCAAATAGATTCAGCCATTGTCAATATTTGTATCGCATGTCCTCGTCAGGACTAGTCTCTACAGGCGAGCACGAGCACTACTCCTCCAAAACCCGTTTGAGAGGAGAACTTTGGCGGAAAAACTTGAGGCCAAAGAGCTGATCCCAGATCAGCCTGACCTCACAATCAGACAGCAGACTAGCGGGAAAGGGAAGCAGTACATGCAAAGCTTTTCTATTAGCTGTACACCAGACAGGTTTGGCTAGCTGGATGCAGTCATGCTAATAACGTATTTAGCTTTTTAAAACAACGGGGACAGATCCAGCACGGACAGTTAGGGAGTGAGGGATGAGGAAGTAAGGAAACATGAGAACACCAGGACACACATGGAGAACTCTGTCAAGCTACATATTAGGCAAAGTGAACATCTTTTCTTGTACATACTGTAGTTGTCCTCAGTCTCATCTGCTTAACTTGGTCATGGAGGCATCAACATTTAATTGAGATGGTAAATTAACAGTGAAAAGTCATCATAGCTTAATTTAACATCAGTATTCCTAATTACACTTCATGTTTACTTCTCCTGATCTTTACCTCCTATAACAAGGTCCATAGGGGCATCTCAATACATAAACATGTTCTATTATATTATATATATATATGTGTGTTTTATATTATACTAAATATTATTATATATTATTATATTATACTGAATTCCCTGTGAGGGTGACAAAAATAAGATGTCCTGACGTTTGTCAAAGTGTTATTTACTGCTTTTTTTCATGTTGGAATAAATGTTAAATATTTAACTGCAACGTAGTAATGCGTGTTTGATACCTTCATTTTTTGCATTAAATCATTCTGGGATGTTTGCTGAAATTGATTGGATATGGCACAGCCCATCTAGAACATGTTCCCCCAGCCACCACTGTATATGGAGCTTCTTTTCACAGTGAATGACAGAATGTTGTGCCTCTGGTGTTTGAGTCTGGATAAAAATGGGGTTACTCTTCAACTTCTGTCAGAGTTGCTACATGTCAACCCACTTTTCAACTACTGTTCGAAGAGTACTAGTGGAAAGCAGTTAAACTACTCTGTCAGTACACTTCAACATTTCAGCTGTTTTCAGCACTTTTACGTATTATTTTATTTCACTTACTTCATTTCCGTCCACTTTTTTGTACATTTCTGTCTACTATCCAATCAGAGAAATTTGTTGAGTCGGACTACCACCGACTGGCTCTTCAGAAGTTGGAAGCATGTCCAGTCGCCATGGAAAGCCTGGGGGCTCCACCTTTAAAAGTCCACAACATCCATCTGACTGACAGAAACAACCGCATAGATCAACACACTGCACAGGTACACAGGTGTTTAGTAAGTCATCAGAATGATGTGGGCGATGCTGTCTCCTGTGCGTGTTTGTTTGGTAATCTTGTCCTTGTAATTGTCCTAAACTTCCAAGTTGGATCGTTATTACATAGGAACACGGGTCATGATGTTTGGACTAAGTAGCTCCTTCTATTGCGTTTTAATGTAGTGGCTAGGCAGGCCCCTCATTGTTGGAATGCTGTTAAGTATTCCAGGCATTTTTTAAGCTACAGAAACCGTTCAACTATCAAAATGTTTAGCTCATTATGGACACGTGTGCTATGTCTCTTCATATTTCTAACCTTTAAACTTTTTGAATTATTAAGCTTTTTGCAATATTTTTTGAATGGGATGTCTATGGAGAAAATTTTCAAATCCTCTTAAACTTTTTCAAATTTCAAATCCTTCTACTTCCTCAGCTACAGACACCATTTCAACTTTAAAATGTTGAGAAAACCCTTAACTAATATTGTATGTTATAATTAGTGCGGGCAAGTTAACGCGTTAATTTCGCGTCAACGCATTCATAAATTAACGGCGACAAATATTTTATCGCGCGTTAACGCATTTTTAAAATTTATTATTATTTTTTATTTTTTTTTAATTGAAAGACAGAATACATATACATAACAAGAGGATGACAAGAACTGGGATAAAAGCCAGCAAACATCCTATAGTCAGTTGTGTGTGTATGTATGTACAGTTGTGTGAAAAAGTGTTTGCCCTCTTCCTGACTTCTTATTTTTTTGCATGTTTGTCACACTTAAATGTTTCAGATCATCAAACAAATTTAAATATTAGACAAAGATAACACAAGTAAACACAAAATGCAGTTTTTAAATGAAGGTTTTTATTATTAAGGGGGAAAAAAATCCAAACCTACATGGCCCTGTGTGAAAAAGTGATTGCCCCCCCCCTGTTAAAACATAAATTAACTGTGGTTTATCACATCTTTGGAAAGCTGAGTTAAATTTCTCTAGCCACACCCAGGCCTGATTACTGCCACACCTGTTCTCAATCAAGAAATCACTTAAATAGGACCTGCCTGACAAAGTGAGGTAGACCAAAAGATCCTCAAAAGCTAGACGACATGCTGCGATCCAATGAAATTCAGGAACAAATGAGAAACAAAGTAATTGAGATCTATCAGTCTGGAAAAGGTTACAAAGTCATTTCTAAAGCTTTGGGACTCCAGCGAACCACAGTGAGAGCCATTATCCACAAATGGCAAAAACATGGAACAGTGGTGAACCTTCCCAGGAGTGGCCGGCCGACCAAAATTACCCCAAGAGCGCAGCGACGACTCATCCAAGAGGTCACAAAAGACCCCAGAACAACATCCAAAGAACTGCAGGCCTCACTTGCCTCAATTAAGGTCAGTGTTCATGACTCCACCATAAGAAAGAGACTGGGCAAAAATGGCCTGCATGGCAGAGTTCCAAGATGAAAACCACTGCTGAGCAAAAAGAACATAAAGGCTCGTCTCAGTTTTGCCAGAAAACATCTTGATGATCCCCAAGACTTTTGGGAAAATACTCTGTGGACTGACGAGACAAAAGTTGAACTTTTTGGAAGGTGTTTGTCCCATTACATCTGGCGTAAAAGTAACACGGCATTTCAGAAAAGGAACATCATACCAACAGTAAAATATGGTGGTGGTAGTGTGATGGTCTGGGGCTGTTTTGCTGCTTCAGGACCTGGAAGACTTGCTGTGGTAAATGGAACCATGAATTCTGCTGTCTACCAAAAGATCCTGAAGGAGAATGTCCGGCCAATCCTGAATCCGATTGAGATGCTGTGGCATGACCTTAAAAAGGCGGTTCATGCTCGAAAACCCTCCAATGTGACTGAATTACAACAATTCTGCAAAGATGAGTGGGCCAAAATTCCTCTACAGTGCTGTAAAAGACTCATTGCCAGTTATCGCAAATGCTTGATTGCAGTTGTTGCTGCTAAGGGTGGCCCAACCAGTTATTAGGTTTAGGGGGCAATCACTTTTTCACACAGGGCCATGTAGGTTTGGATAGTTTTCCCCCCTTAATAATAAAAACCTTCATTTAAAAACTGCATTTTGTGTTTACTTGTGTTATCTTTGTCTAATATTTAAATTTGTTTGATGATCTGAAACATTTAAGTGTGACAAACATGCAAAAAAATAAGAAATCAGGAAGGGGCAAACACTTTTTCACACAACTGTGTGTGTGTGTGTGTGTGTGTGTGTCCTTGAGCTTTTTAAGATGGGGGGAAAAAAAAATAATAATTAAAAAACAGGTAAGTATTTTTAATTTATTATTATTGTAACAGACTGTCTCATGTTTATCGTTTTGTATTGGAGATATGATGTCCCTTCAGGGTTGCAGTAGAGAAAAGGCGACTTCCGCTTCTGGTCGAGGGGGGGGCAGAAATAAAGAGAGAAGCTGCACCAGCTGTTGCTCTCCCTGGAGACTACTGGACATCGCTGCGGTAAAGTCAGCAGACACTCAGATCTCCGTGGTCAACTCAGCAGACACTTACATTTTAGTGCACCTATATGCTGAAATTCATGGTAAACGCATTCAAACGGCACAGATCGGGAGCGAGCGAAGGACTTTGAAAGTTAGCGGAAAGATTAACGTGAGACAACATCCGGTTTCTTCAGACGAACATCCGGTTTTCAGAATAAGATGCCAACAAAGTATGAATTATAGTCACATTAAGTATAAAACATACTACCTGCATCTCGTGAACCAAATGTTATTGCCCTTTTGTTCATATAGCAGTACTTTTAAAATAAAAGTGTGCAATACACTACTTTTGAATTGATTATTGAACTTTGCCATAACAATGCGATTAATTGCAAAAAATCCATGCGATTAAATATTTTAATCGTTGCCCAGCACTAGTTATAATCTTTTTGATATCTTTTACAGTTTTTTTACAGAACTGCAGCAATTTAACTTTTATGATTTTTTCCGTCCTTTTCTGACTTTATAAAATGGGTGTGTATTACTCACTCAGTCCATATATATACATGTGTATATACATCCATATATATATACATATATATAACTGTCTGTCTGCCTGTCTGTCTTTCTCACTCTCTTCTCTCTCCATCTATGTCTCTCTCTGTGTGTCTCTCTCTCATACAGTCATTCAGGTCTATGAGATTTTGAGAGGACTTTTCCCTTTCAAAATGTTCAGCTCTTTCAGGAGAGGGGTGCTTTGACTTTTCATATTTGTAATCTTTAAACTTTTTGAATTATTAAGCTATTTGCAATTTTCTTTTGAATGGGATCTCTATGGAGAAAATCTTCAAATCCTTTTAAACTTCTTCAACTTTCAAAGCCTTCTTCTTCCTCATACTTTCAGCTACAGACACCATAGTTAGACATTTCAACGAGAAGGGTTTTCAGCAGTGCAGTTTAAATGCTTTTGGGCTTCAACATTTTTCAGACGGGTAGTCTCCCATTTCAGTTTTTTCAGCAATTCTTTTACAATTAATTTCAGCTTTCAGCATTCCAACACATTTTCAGCAGGAAATGCATTTTCTAGTTTACACTAATATCCTCTTGGAATATGTGTTCGTGTTCCTACTATTGTGGGAGTATGTCTTTCACCTGTAAGCTTTTGGACTTGTGTATCTTTTGTTATTGTGCTTGGCTGACCAAACTAGTTTCCACTCTTGGGATTGATAAAGTTATCCATCTATCTGGCAGTCAAACATGTGATTGGTGTGGGATTCAGATGATGGGCAGCTGTACCACACAATCATTATGTGAGGAGCTCTGGTACCTGTCTACACATGTGCAGATTCATTTGAATTTGCATTGTGTTGCAGATAAAGATCCCTGTGACTGGTTCACAAACTGGAGGTTATCTGTATACTTCTTCAATTCAAGACCCTGACACGAACAGGTGAGTACATTCTGTTCTATTCGGAGTTCAATGAAAATCACAATTAAAGGTCATGCAAAATTCACTTTTTCATGGCTTTTAAACATAAATATGTGTCTACAGACCCCCAGAGTGTCATAAAGAACACCCTAAAAGGAGCTGATCAAAATATGGTCCTGTTTCTATGTAAAAAGAGGTCCCAAAGCATTGATGTGTTTCCTGGTGGTTCTGTAGAACAGTCAGTAATAAATGCTGACTGTGAGCACATAACACATTTATCTTTGAGTCAAACTTTATTTGAGTACAATATGAATTATACTATAGACCAGGGGTATTCAATTAAAATTTCAAAAGGTCCAGATTGAGAAAATGTCCTCGGGCAAAGTTCCGGAACATTACAATAATATCTAACTTGCGCTATTTATATATATATATATATATAGTACAGTCAACAACTGTCAAATAAAGAAAGTACACATCAATTATGTTTTAACAATTATTATTCTGACTTTTCAAATTTAACTGGATGGATTATAAATTATACATAGAAATACATAAATAAATATTCTTCTCATTTCAAGTACAATAAGGGCTGGATTAAAGAATAACTGATATAACAGAAAGCTTTTGAAGAATGTGCATCTTAAAATAAAGTAATTAATTTTAGAAAGAATTATTTCACTGAATTGTCCTGCAGCTTTAAATTCAGTTCATTCAGGTGTGAAGTGATGTCAATAAAAAAGACACAATATTATATTTTTGTAATTTAAAAAGAGAAATGTTTCTGCATGGACTTTAACTATGGTTATTAAACCACTTGTTTCAGCTCTATTCTCTCTGTTAACGTCATTGGTCAGTGAATTCACGACCCCTGCTATAGACTGTATATATTATTCTTTACAGTATTGTGAAATAGTTTAAAATGTGATCTGCAGCTTTGAAACATTTCACATCATATATGGCAATAACTGTCTGACAAGTAAAACTGTCATGGTTATATGAGATCAGTGATTCCACCTTCAGTTCAGTTGACATGCTGCCTCACTTCATGTGTCGTCATGTGTAATGTAACCAGGTTAGGATTATTTTTCTATTTGCGATGTAACCCAGCAGATAATTTAAGTCTTTAATGTCATTTTAATTTAACCTTATTTCTGTTGTTAAACAAAGTGTCAATCACAGCAGTTTTACCCAGATACGCTTCTCATTGGTTATTTCGGGGAATGCAGACTCCCGATTGGGGAAAGGAAAATAAGTCCCGCCCTACCAGAAAGACGTTAGACGTTACAGAGTAAGAGAATGCGCGAGGGAACAAGTACTATCTGTTTCATAAAGTAGTTCAGCCGTTACAAGTGATAACTGTTTAAACTAGGGGTGTCAAACTCATCTTCACTCTGGGCAACATCAGCATCATGGTCGTCCACAAAGGGCCGGTTGTAACTTTAAGACTATAACTACTCCCGAACATATTGATAAATAACTGTCTCTGCATTTGATTATTGTTTATTCAAGTGTACATATTGTACATGCAGTTATATAAATGTAAAAATATATTTAAGCACATTTCTGTTATTATAACTTAAATCATTTTAATTTAGGGTTAAGAAACCCACATTACTCTATCAAACTTTTAAAGAAAATAGCAAAGACAAATATCAAAGACAAGTTATTACAATAACTTTGTTCAATGCTTAAAAAATCCTTTCAAGGGCACGTTTGCACAATCACACGTGAAGTAGTATCTGTTGTAAAGCCACGTTTAAAGTAGTCTTCAATGTACTCACAATACATTTCATGTCAAATGTAGGGTAACCTATGAAGAGCTGCTTCTATGACTGTTGTGTTCAAGTATCTCATAATTATGACTTTCTATCTCATAATTATGACTTTCTATCTCATAACTTTGACTTTCTATCTCATAATTTCGACTATGGCGATATTTTTATTATCAAGTCTAATTTTGAATAAATGTTTTTAATTTTGTTTTTTTACTTTTTAAAACTTTTTTCTTTTGCTGGCGGATTCGCTGGCCACATGAAATGACGTGGCGGGCCGGATCCGGCCCGCGTGCCTTGAGTTTGACACCCCTGGTTTAAACTGTCAGAGACACAGCGCTTTGTGAGATTGCACTCATGCAACGTGAGAGGTGACCTTTGTGCCACGAGTTTACAACATTTGGCAGCGTCTTGGCTTGGTTTTTGATGTTCCCTGGATACCTTTATACTGGATATTGAACTCTTCCTGACGAGGAAGATGGCAAGACACCACTGAACTGATCATCTGCTTACCTCGAGGAGTAGGATCAAGATTTTCTTTGTTGCTGAGGAGAAAACAAGCGTTTCTCCATTTCTCATCACCTGAGTGCACCAATGTGGTAGGATTAAGAAAGCAACACATCTTACTACTTGACTTATTCTTTTGACTTTGGAACTGAAACTGACTGTTGAATATTTAAACTGACTGAATAAGGAAACGAGGAAGGAGCTTGAACGCGAAAGGAACAAACTGAAGGAACACTGCATTTCAGAGACACTTTTACACATTTCAATGGAGATGTGCAGAGTTATCTGATTGAGAAGAGCATTGTAAATGTTGTATAAGATGTCAATTTTATTTTTATCTTCACATGGTTCAATATAATCTTTGAAATCAAACCATTCTGTGGCTCCAGTTCCTTTGTGTGTCTATTATTGGCTATAAACCTCTCCCTATGAACCTAGGTCCTGGTCCAACAAATAATTTGAGTATTCTGCAGATACTAACAGGGTTACATGTAACATGGGGACAGCTCCTCCACTAGTCAATATACCATTAATATGATCACTTTCGTACGTTTATGTGTTCTTACCAGAAATAATCACCTGACTGCTGTTTCACATCTATTTTCCACCGCCACACTTGATAGTCACTCTGTTTACAATGCAGTTAGCTACATGCTAACATGTTACCTCTGTAACTCACATGGATGTATAAAGACAACATATCTCCTCACATCACATGCTTTCTTCTTCACTGGGCTCTGTCGATCATTTCTCACAAATGTACCTGTAAAGTCATGAAGCAGAGAGTATGTCCACTGAGTTTATGCATAACATAAATATCAAGTTAATGAGAGAGAGAGATATAATAATAGCATTATTTACCGGGGAAAAATATCAGGGAACGCTTGGCACAGAAGCGCTGACCAATCGGAACAGACTGGGCTTTTTTTTT